GTAGTGCTGCTACTGCTTTTTTGCTCTAAAAATAAATGTCCCCGTCGGTGTCATTGAGTCCAGCTGCAAAAATTTTTGCAGACTGTCATTCTAGTCAAGAAACCCAAGATAATTGGTGTGGATACCTGATATTACTGTCAAATTATATTTTGCTTGGGAGCTGTAACACGTAAACGCGCAACTACGCCAGACTATCTGGTCCAGGACTGCATACCTTCAGTTCAGTACCGATCGCTTTTTCAGCATATTTACCCCTCTTTCTGGAAGCTGTGCGACTAGTCTTTTCTGTTCTTGCGTGTAACATGCGCTGTCTTAGAGCAATCACTTCTCAGTTGAAGATTAATTTAGCACGCAGCGCAGATTAAATTTGGTCGACTTAAAAAATTTCTTTCTCGCGTTTTTTCCTCTCGAATGTGACGCATCTTCGCGCTAATTAAATGAACCAATTTTAAGGAAAGAAAGTAACAACTATAACGATAGTAATTCAGATGACAAATGTTTCTCATCAGATTTCAATTCAAAACGCAATTGTCGAATCTTGTGAGGGAAATAGGAGGAAAGGATGGGAAGAGGGCAGGAGGGGAGAAGAAAGGGGGAGGGAGGGTGAAGGGTTATTAAAATGGAAATATAATTCAGCACTAATCAGAACTCATTGACTGAAAAAGTAATCATGAAAAAAGCAAGGTATGATGTGCTTTGAAAAAGAAAATCATTGACTGTAAAAAAAAAGTTTCGCTCTTAATAATTCTGGATAATTGGGTTGCGGAATGGAATTCCTGCTGCTCGGAATCTAATATGAATTGTCACTGCAGTGATGTTGAAAACAGACTTTTTTTAGATGTCAAACGAAAAAAAAATAAAACAATGATGTCCCATTAGGAACAAAATGACCAAGGGCAACTACTGTTTAACATTTCATGAGAGAATGCGTAATCGCGTTTTCAGGATGGACGAACGATTCACCAATTGGCGATGAATTCTTGAAAAAGTTTAGCTGAGGCTACCGGATTGAGGAGAGTGCCTGCCTGCTCAATCGAAAACCAGCAGAAGTTAATTCTTATTAAGTGAAAACTTCATTTGGTTACTCTCCGAGGAGGAAACAGAAATATTTAATAAGAATTTGGGAAAATAGGCGAATCTAGGCAGTTGCAAGCGGTAGGTGACGGAACCTGGACCATACATATGAAGCTTAATGCTGAGAAGTTGTGATTCTTGCGGCCAAGATTGGAGA